TCCAACAGCCATGAATAAGGAAAATAGAAGGGTTGGAGAGGTCTTTCGATTAAGAGCAAGAAAAATATCACTAATGCAATTATACGTGAATGAGCACTTTGTCAGTGCGGGATGAAAATCGGATATTAGGAAATGCATATCGTTTTGAAAACGGCTTATGTTGTTTAACAAGTTGATATCAGTAGGTATTAAACGAAATCTAGCAATACTAAGCGTATCACAGTGGGACTATTTTGCAGAGCAGTTTGAAAACACCTTCGAAAACACAAAAATATCGGCGGTGTTGTGCTTGAACACTTTAGTAGTACCATCAGTAGAGCAACGATTTGATGCACTCAGAGAATACCACGAGTTATCGGTAGGAGGCCACAGAGGTATGAACAAGACTTACAACAAAATTGTGAAAGATTATTACTGGCGAAATATGCGACCGGACCTACGTCAGTTCGTGTTAGGTTGTGAATCATGCCAATCCAAAAAATTTGTTAGAGTAAGAACAAAACAGGCTCTAGTTGTAACAGATACACTAGGTAGGCCATTTGAAAAAAAATCAATTGATTTTTAAGGCCTGATAAACAAACCATCAGCACATGGCAATAGTTATATATTGTCAATTCAGGACTGGCTCACGGAATATCTAATTCTTGTACCAGTAAAGAGAGCGACGGCGTTAGAAACAGCAAAAGCACTGTTAAACAGAGTAATTGCATACGTTGGCGCCCCAGAGAAAATGCTGTCAGGCAGAGGTGCACATTTCCAAAACAAAATGTTGGAAGAGTTTGCAAAAGTATTTAAAATAGACAAAATGGGAACAACAATTTTCCATCCACCGAGTAACAGCGCAATAGAACGAATGCATCAAACGTTAACGAAATATTTAAAGGCGTACGTAAATGAAGACGACTTTTGGGACGATCATTTAGGCATGTGCATGTGCGCTTACAATTCGACAAAACACTCAGCAACAGGGATAGCGCCTCAAGAAGTATTGCTGGGCTACTCAGCCAGAATCACTTCTAGCTTTAAGAAAACAATTAATGAACAAACGTATGATGAATATGTAGAGGACGTAATAAAAACAATGACGCGGCTAAGGACCATAGCAGCCATGAATCAAGTTCAGGCGAAGAAGGTCCAAATATTATTACGACAAAAAATTGAACACAAGATTTTTCATGGAAGGGGAAATAGTCAATGTTCTTAAAGAGCCGAAAAAAAATGAGGATTACTACGAAGAACCATAAGAAATCGTAGAAATAAATTACAAGAACCACAATATAAAACTGATACGTGGCGATAAAACAAGAATTACACACGTGGGTAAAATCAAAAAAGCATGCGTTATAAAAACCTAACTGTTAGATAATAGGGAACTCAAGGAACAAAGCAGGGTAGCAAAAACAAATCACATAAGTGTAAGAAGCAAATAAAAAACGAGATGTCAGAGGCAACAACACCAAAATAGTGTACTTCTCTCGTAAGCGTTGCCTTCGGACGACTTACGAAATCAGCAGCCATTCAACTGTATAAACAAAAATAAGAATACAAATCTTGTGTTTCAGGGCTGGAACCACGCCACTGATACAGCAACCTGGGTAAATAGAGGACATTAAAAGAAACCCTAGGAATTGGTGGAGCGCTTGGGCTCAGTCCAAGCAGTCGCATCAACTTGGAAAATGATATGGTATGTAGATTGAAATGACGTTGTCGAGGAGGCAAATTCGTTTTTAGACGCAAAAAGGCAAGAAATTTGAAAATGCAGGGTGACGATAAAAAAGAAACACGAATGTATAAAAAAAGTAGAGTACACAACAGAAAAAGTCCTAAGAGCCTTGGATAGGGTAAAAGAGGCATTTAGAACAGTAGTAGACCAAAAGATCAGTGATCAAATTAAGACGGTGCAAGCGCTCCAGGGGGATGTGACTGACGAGGAAAAAGAGAAAATACAAAAGCTAATAGAGGCGAATAGACTAACACAATGAAAACAACAAAGTACTTAACGGAACAAATTAAAGTCATAACATATGAAAACCATGAACGATACCTTCAAGATATAAAAACGTTCAAAGATAAAGCTGGGAGAATAACAAAGGAAGGTTTAAAAAAGTTTGCAGAATACTTCAGCGATTATGACAAAGTTACAGGAATGGTGGGCGAATTTGAACACTTAGCCGAGAAACTTATAACAAAATTTGAAACAACAGTGAACATAATGTACTTGGCGAGTCGGGGAACCACAAATATACCAGATGCGGCATTGAGAGCGATTTTGGAAGCAAAAATTTTGGCAGAGCAGCTGAGACTAGATCTATAGTTCCAAGTAAGGGAAAATACAGCTACAGAAGAGGAAATTAGAGAATTCCCAAAATAGCGACCATGGCATTTAACGGCAGAATAATATATTACATACGGATACTACTGGTTACGAAAGAAAATTTTGACCTTTTTAGAATATCATCATTGCCAGTGGAACAAAAAGGCTTAAATACTTCGGATTTAGTGGCATACTTGCAGCCAACATACGAATACACAGCGAGCAGTGTTAGTGAGAGAAGATTTACGCCAATGCAGCAAGAGGTGATAAAACTATGTAAAAGACTAGGAAAAACACGAATATGCACACAAATGGAGCCAACACAGGAAGTCGAAGAGGATCACCCCTGTGAGATACGTATCATATTGGAGATTGCAGTGAAGAAACCAGAAGAATCTATGATAATATTGGCCAAGTTAAAAGGCACATTTTGGACACGCCTCCATGCTAAAAACCAACATGCCTTTACCACCACGAGAAAGGACAAAGTCCACATACAGTGTGAACACACCGAACACAAGACACTGAAGGTGGTGAATTTTGGGGTAGTCAGTTTAGCAAGAGACTGTATAGTTCAAGCATCGGATACGAGACTGGATCCAGAACAAGAGGAAGGCGAAAATCGCATAATGAAGCTTGAAAGCGCATATCTAAATTTGAAGGATATAATAGAAAAGGTGAAAGGGACTGAAGGAGGTATGTTATTGGAATTAATAGAAGCAGTGACAAAAAGAGACGGACTACAGAAACTCGATAACCAGGAGCATGGACTTGATGATAGGATAAAAACAGGTACACAGCTCCAACGGACACACGAGTTAGTAAAAACAAAGAAGGAATTTTTAAATTGGAAGGAATACGCATTGATGGCAGCAGAAATATCACTAGAAGTGGCAGCCGGATCTTTTGGATTTTTAAAATGGGGGGGTCCAATAATACTTAAAGGTTTGAGAATTATTACAGGCGGACGGGAGAGAAACCGTGGGAACACCAACTCGGTACTACAAGACTTGTCAACCCAGAGGGCAATGGTTAACGCACGAGAGGTACAAGTGCTACTGGGCAAGCGGATAGGATAATAAGGCAGAAGACAACCGGCTCGGTTAACAACCAATCCACGATGATCATTGAGGTCGACGATGTAATAAAAAGGGTTATACATGAGATGTGTACAGATTTAGAAAACAGAAGAGATAATAAAATAAAAAACATAAAATAAAAATAAAAAGAATAATTAAATAAATAAAATCTATACAAAGAATATAATTATATAATAATAATGTAAAGAGAGCAGCACAAACAAAAACAATTATGTTTACACAAATAACTTAGAATTTACAGAAAACATAACACAAATATACTCGCACACACAAACCAATATGGCCATCGAGGACGATGACCGCGTGGCCTCGGACGTGTGATGTACAGTATCTTGAGCCGTTATAAGTTCGCGCAAAAGACTCACCTCTCACGGCGCATGAGCAGCGGATACAGAGTATGATGATCACCTTTCGGCGGCGGGCCCGAGCGTTATTAGCTCTTCCGCTCCCTCTCTCCGATTAGCCTCCGAACCTAACACCACGCACGCGACTGCTTTTGCTTTGATCCACGAATAAACGGATATATAAGTTTCTTTCACGTGTATTCTATCCTCTTACACCCTCAAGCTCCACAATTCCCACGCAACACGATTATCTATTTTTAAAATAATTCAACTATCCATGTGTGTAGATTACAATGGTGTAAAGAAGCTTTTTAGTGGCGTCAATAGCGACAGGTATAGAGGTATAAAAGAGTAGCTATGCTATGCACTTATATATACAAACGAAACGTTGCCAAACAATTACCTTGATGCTATTGAGCCATTATTTCCACAACCGACTTTTTTTTTTTTAATAATTTTGTGCTATTTTGCAGTACTTAAAGAACTATTGCTTTGGCAAGAAACCTTTATGACACGGAAATGATTTTGGCCATGGACACAAATAATTTTGTAGCTTACTCACTATAAAGACAGTCACTACACATAGTCCTCTTTCTTAAAATTTGCATTTTCAGGGAACATACAAGAAATAATTTGCACAACCGTTTTGCTGTGAGCATCTATCTTTTAATATAAAATTCGACACCACAAAAAAAATTTTATAGTGATGTATGCTAATTGCACTGTAAGCAGATAAATATTTGTCTTTCACAAGATCGGAGTTAAAGGTCTATTGTTAATAACTAATCCGCACTTTTACCATTCAAAATATATATGATCGTTTTATAGCAGAAAATATTACACAAGGTTCTTTATCGATTTAATCATATTTTTACTGACTTTCATTCAATTATGGATGCTCGTGTACCATGGTGAACTTCTTATTACGTGATCATAAAAATTACTCCAGGCAGACGTACAGGGAATAAAGTTTTAAAACAATTTATAATACAATGGTGTGTGAAATTTTACTTCTATTCACTTTGAGTTACTACATTCCTCGAAAATTTCGAAAAACTGTTTCAGAATGCTTTAAAGATTTTTTTATATTTTTTATCGCATAAATTATTCTTTTATCTTGTATCAAGTTATTTAGACATACGTACTACCAAAACTCCGCTAAACATTATTTTAAAAGCTGTATAAGATCGAAGTTAACAATAACGAAATTTCAATATTAATAATTGAATGTAGTCAACTCACCGTAACAGCATTAATGTCACTTTCATGTCCCGGAAATGTTTGTTTGCATGATCCTTCACGTATATCCCAGAGCTTTGCACTAGCATCACATGCACCAGAAACGAAAGTATGCATGTCTGGTGCAAGTGACAGAGACATGACATCACCAGTATGACCAAGAAATGAGGTACACTGCTGACCTGTTTCAATATCCCAAAGAGCACTAGAAATAAGTTTAATACACCCATTAGCACATGTACCATATATCACTGTATCTGTATTTATAAATGTTAAAAACTAAATACTAAAATTACAAAAAGTATCTGGTTTGAGGGATTTTTCTTAACAATCACATATACAAGTGTACACAGGCAAACACATTTGCACACACTTGTATGTGCATGTAGAATTCTAAAATATGTTACTCTATGCATGCATGATAATGTAAGAACAATTGACACCTGAAACATTTCTGTTTATTGTATTGTTGATTGCAAATGTTTATTGGTATTTAAAAACAATGTGCACTTAGTGTGCTTAACAAAGCAGAAAAAGTTAATTGACAAAGATAATCTAGAGGATGCTCAGTGATTTATTTAGACTTGCATACTCCTCCATATCCTTCGACTCTCAGTCCTCTTTACTATGTCCTGCCACCGTAGAAGTCCTCTTTAGAGAGCGCACGGACACGTTGCTAATAAGGACAAGCAGGTGAGATGTAATTCGAACGATTTTACCCACCTTGGTCCAAGAAAAATGCAATGTAATAAAGCGCCATTTATCGTGTATATCAGCTCCGGGGATAGGTCCTCCATCAGCTGACAATGACTCGGAGATATCTATAGGAAAAAGAGATATCTTAGTGATCAAGCCAACGTACGTCCTCGTCACAGTTTGGATGGTGGCAGCTCTCACAAGACCGTCTTTGCCACAGCTGACAGCGGTCTTTGCCACGACTAACAGCGGCCCCAAAAAACGTTGCCGTTGACAGGTCGCCAACGGGCTTTTGGTGTACCTTGGCGGCGAAATATTCCTGGGTCATTAAAATTCCTCTACCTTTGGCCAATAACAGAGAAAAGGGCCAGCGTAATCCACACCAGTCCAAGCAAGTGGACGAGATGGTGTAACTCAAGCAGCTAGCAGATTGGCCATCAGTTGAGAAGGGGGCTGAGTTAGAAGACGAGTGCAGGTCACACATCGTCGCAAATAGCCCTTCACCATCCAAGAACCACTGACAATTCATAATTTTTAAACCACGTAAGCGTTTGTGCCACAGTATCCTCCAAGTACAACTTGCACGTAGGCGAATAAAATGATGACGTGAACAAGCGGGCAGGATCCACTGACGATAGGTGGATGACGCTTTTCAAAAGGCAGCGCAACCTTCTCAAGCCACCTGAGGCTTCAAGCCAATGCACAGAACTTCAGAGTTGTCGACAAAGGGAGCCAAGGGCATCGACGGGTGTCCCATAATTACAGTGTACCCACTTAGGATAGCGGTCATTACCTCGTGAAGAGTTCTCTTCTGACTAAGCTGAACTCAAGCTAAGAAGATGTCGTAAAGCTCGTCGGCCGTTAGCAGCGACAGAATCGGGGGTGCTGGTTCTTGATTAAAGCGTATACGGGTCAAGCAACTCGCAGGGCCATACAGAGTCAGGGTCAGCAAACTAGAGTGGTTCACTTCACCACACCCGGTTTGAAAAAAGTCAGACATGTCAGCGTCTCGGGAAGTGATATTTGCGGGATTTTATTGCGTAAGCACATAACGCCAAAAGCCTGAAGACAAAATCTCTTTGATCCATCAATAATTTCACAGGCAGGTGGCTCAACAGAACGTATCTGATAAAAGGTTATTCAAGAATCGTACCAAGCGTAACAATATTCGATATGGACTATAACCCTCATCACCATAGGTCTTGCAGAAGCTTTGCTTGTAGTACGAAAGGAGCGAGCTATCCACATGGAATAAATGAACTTTTAAGGGCAGCAAGCATAGAATGTTTCGTCCAAAAAGGCCAATGGAAGGCGAACTGAGCCAAAAAACATCAGATGCTAGATCCCAGCAGACTCCAAGCTCACTGACCAATTCCTCAGTGCTGAGTTGACACCATGTGGAGTGGAGTCAAACCTTTTGTGGAAGATTGATCAGCAATTTAGGGGAGTTCAACACCCACTTTCGTAGGAGGAGTCCACCAGCGTTCAAAAAACTCATAACTTGATTGCGAATGTGTACAGCAGGCTCAATGCTGTCAGCTCCAGAGAGGATATTAACTGCGTATCGATAAGCTATCATGACAAGAACTGCTGCAGGACATCCATGCCACTCGTCTTCGCCAAGCTACTAAATTATAGGTAGCGAGAGATACGGTGAGCACGAGGCTGCAAGGGCAGTGAGTAGCTATAAGTGCATTAGAGCGGTGTCTGGATTTGAGCTCCATAAAATGGACTGAAGATCCACGTCTACCTGGTTGATATAAATCTGTCTAAACATCATGCGAATGTCACTGCCAAATGCTACACAGCATCTCCAGGGCAGAAATATAAAAGGCAGATCAAATTAGAATCGTGGTTCAGCGTGTATAACGTCGTTCAAACTGGAGTCACTTGATGTTGGGGTCGAAGCATTGAAGACAACACGCAATTTGTGCTTGTTGTCTTCGGCTTGCCAAATGCCATGGTGTTTAAAGTGATAAGCTTTCTAACTAGTATCGACAAGCTGATCGTTAATCAGTGGTCTCATGTGTCCCGGCTCCTGATATTCGTCTATGAATCGTTAGTGTTCTTCATTGCTATCTCAGGCGATCGTTGAAGCCGTTGCTGTAATGAGTGCATCAAAGCCTAAGCACTCTGCAGGCTGGCACTGAACAGTATCATTCCATCCTTTTTCAACGCAAGTCTAGCGATGTCATTTAAAAAGGTTATTAGAAGCAGGAACCAAGATCTAAAGGTTCAGCTTCTCAAAGCAAATGCTCAGGGATAAAGAATGGCACTCGTGATCCTTGACAGAGTAGCCGCCAAAGAATGTCGAAGACGCAGGCCAGGTCAAGATTGGATTTGTTACCTGCCGTATTAAGAAAATGATGGTTGTAACAAGGTGTTTTAAGTGTATGGGGTATGATCACGTATCCCATGACTGTTAAGAGGAAGAAGACCGTGTTTCTTGAGCAAGACCGGTAACACGAAACACAAAGCCAGCAGTGGAAGCTACCTTATCTTCAGACACGCGTTAAAAGAAGTCAGAAGGAAAGCCCAAGTGGCGGAGAAGTAAAAAGGCCGAATTTTTTGAAGAAGTGTGAGCTAATGTGGACCCACACTGCGCTAAGTACACTTATTTATTAACCAGAGAAAGCATCAAGCATTTAGTGGTGATTGAAAGCATGCAGCCTACAATAGAGCGCTAGACACGGGTGTTGGCTCTCAGGCACCCTGACTCCTTTTCAGGACTCAAGAGGATTGGCACCTCTAGCAACTAATGGCGAGTTTTCTTGCTCATGCTGTGAGATACGATGATCTTCTTGGTGGCTCTACCCTGAAGTAATTCTAATGGGGTTCCGAGGTGGATGGGAAGGGGGGGTTGAATGGGTATTAGTGGTCTAGTAAAAAAAATTTACCGAATCCCACACTACTAGTGTTCCTGTGATGTGCCTTAATGCATTTCTGCTCCATACACAAAAAAAAATAAATAAAAAATAAAAAAAATAGTAGTAGTGGTAGAAGTATATTGCGTAAAAGTATAAATAGCTAAATGTTTGTATGTTGACAAAAAAAAAGATGTTGTGGATAAACTGATTCGTAGCTAAACTTGAACTGAAATACAGTTTTAGTTTGTAAGTATACATGGAATAAACACTAATTTATTTTTCATGTTTTTGTATATGTAACATTTAAGTTTGTATACGTATGAATAAATCCTTTTTTTATTAGCTTTTAAAACAAAGGAAAAAAAAATTATTTGAAAGAACATCATTTTTTCCTTAAAATATTCGATGGAAACGGAACGTAACTGTAATGATTCTGCTTTACATCAACATTAACATTACAATTTTTTACATCTTTAACTGTACTTAGTGTTATTTTAAACTTATACAGAAATCCAGATAAATTACGAGATCGTAGACAAAGAAATAAAAAATATGTTTTTTAATGAGACTTTGAGGTTATGCTACAGTTTAGAAGATGCTTAGCAACAGTCACATTGCCCTCATAGACATATTTTGATTTCTCCCGGACGTTGTTTATTATTAAATCTTAATCTTTTTTCAGCGTAATTAAAACTATAAAATCTAGAACGTTGCTTCATGGCATAAGTGTTAACTGTACACACAACGTATGATTTTTTTTTATTTTCAGCCAATTACAAAAGGTGTTGCTTTTTACATGTATAAATATTACTCTAAGTTGATTATAAGACAAGCGTATAAATATTCGATCAAATTTCCTTAACAATGATATTTATTTAAACACAACTCTAATACAACATACTTAATTTTTTTTTTAATCGTGTATTAAATTTTCAGACTCATTAAACTGTATTAAAACTTAAAAATATAATCTACCTGTAAAGAATTTATTTATAAAACATTTTTTTAATTGTTTCTATTGAATATACTTTTTTTGATAAGAAATTACTTTAAGTAACTTCAAAAACTTTATAACCTCGTATCATAAAATAATGTTTAGTGCATATTTGATTTAACAATTCAAGGGAAATCTAGGAAAATACCCTACCTATTACAGCGATTTTCGATCGGTTGTCACAAAGTTACGTTTACCTTGTTCAAACTCAAACAATATTCAACGAAACAGACTTAAAAATTGAAAGACTATCCTCATACTGACTAGTTTCCAACAGATACTGTTTAAAGTTAATTACTTAGATAGTTTCTGAAAACTTGCAAATAATAAATAATAGGTACAATTGTAATGGTTACATTAAAAAAATTTTTTTTCAAGTATAAGTACAATGAAGTAATCTTTTAAGAACATGCGTATAGAATTTCAGATATAAAAGTTGAAAAAACAAAATCTGCCACTGGGTGAAAAATCATTGTCATGATGCTCTGCAGCTCGTCTTTTAAAGTGTTTTTTATTGTGTAATCTTTTATTTTTAAAGGATAGTTAACTCTGTGCTTAAACGTGCCAATCTGTTTTAAGTTATATGAGTTTTAATGATATAAAACGTTTAATACGTAATACATTCTTTAACTGCTAAAAAAAAAAAAA